TAGTATATATATATATATATATATATATATATATATATATATATATATATATATATCGCACTGGACACCTCGCCGGATCCCCGCGTGGAATGAAACGAGCATCGATCATCTCGTGGAGATGTACCTTCATTTGTGAAATGATGACGCGTAGACCTCTTTTCTCATTCTCTTCGTGCTCTTTCCTCTTATCGAGAAGGGACCCCCGCGATAATTGCATAACGATACCGTAGATCGAGCTTCAACTCGATTGATTTTCTGTTTACTGAATCTTCCAGTTCGAAGTTCATTGCGATTAACAATTTCTTGGAGTCTTCATTTTAACACACTTCGCTTTGAAACGAGAAGAAAGCGATGCGCTCACTGCGTCTGCCTCTTATCTGTGTATGTTAGATTTGATAATGCTATATGTTTCTATATCACATTTCCCAATGCAACATAAGATTACCTTTTAAAGTTTAAGATTAACATATGTATGACATGATAAATCATAAATATTGTATGCTTTACGCTTGAAAAAAATTTTTTAAATACAGCAATTATCAAGGATTATTTCAAAATTTATTGCACTTAAAGTAGTCTTACATGAGTAGTCTTAGATTCAAAATTTAATATATATTACATTTTTACATTGCATGTAATAATAAATTTGAAATATAGAAACATATTACATATTTACAAACAGATTAGAATGTTAAATATAAAATATATTACAAAAATGTACATATAAATATTATAATATGTTAAAATAATTATAATTATTATAAAATGTTAAAATAATATGTTAAAATTTGCAAGAACCGTACCTATTTTATTAATATCTTTATGTTTCTTTATTGACAGCAAGAGAATTAAATTTCCTATGACAGTAGGCATAATTTTATCTTATTATACCTTTTATGATTCTGCATTCTTCAAGAATTTTGAACTTGAATTGTTTTATTTATCATAGATATATCTATCTAGATGTATTTAATCAAATTCCAACGATTAAAGGGAGGAATTCAATGTAAGAGTACATCATTAAGAAAACATTCTTTAAAACAATGTAAGCAATGTTTATTCAGGGTCAATGTCTTGAAAGAACATTTAAATTTGAAAACGATATCTATATTAGGCTGCGTTCTGATACCCACTGAAAATCTATAACATACGTGATCTAAACTATATATTTTCAGTACTGACAGTGAATATTAGAACGCAGCCTTAATAAAAATAAGAACATAATAAGAATAAAATAAGAATATTTCATGTCAATGAAATCAAGTGTTTTTGTGAAGATTTTTTTTTATTTTTTCATGCTTACAATGTATTATGAAGAAAGACTATATATCGGTATATATCGGTAACACGAAATATATTATAATAGATATCAACAAATTTTGTTTTAAAATTTAAATTTTCAAGTTCTCTTCCCTCCGAAAAGATTCAAAAAGTTGTGTGCTTATATACAAGTTATGTGAAAACATAAATATTATAACTGTATATTTCAATAATATTTTTTTTTATTTGTATCTAAGATTGAAACGAGTATTTACATTGCATGAAGAATAACGTCTTTTGAGATATCGGACATTTCCGATTCAGATTAGCTTCAAAGTCATCTAAAATGATTTGTAAATAGGTTCAAAATGGTTTGTAAACAGATTTCAATTAAATAATAAGTAATTTTAAAACAAAATTACTTTAAAACATATTTGTCATACTTTATATGTAACTGAATTAATTTTTAAACAATATATTTTTTTACAATAAATTTTTATTTGGATAAATACTTTCTTACATTTATTTTATATCAAATACGAATTTTTAACGATTGTATTACATTTTTGATGGGTTTTTTTATATTATGATTTGATAAAAATATTTTGTTGCAGAATATAAACATTTTAAAAATAATTATAAATTGCTTCCGATAATGATTTAATAAAAAGTATTTGATATTACTGTTATAATTTGCATTTTATAAAATTATTTTTTTAGATTGCTTTTATATATATTTTTTTTTATAGAAATGTATATTTCTGATTAATGATAAAATAAAGAGCAAAAATAATAAAAATGGAAAAACTCTCTCTCTCTCTAAAAATAGAAAAAAAAACTCTCAAGCTCAAAACTCCAACTCGTATTTATCTTTTGATATAATTTTTGTGTATATTTTATCATTAAATTAATTACTATTAATGACGTCCTTATAACATATATGAAAACTTTTAATCTAATGATGATGATAAAACGTATTTTTTTAAATCCTCTCGCTCGTTTCATTTCACAAGTTTTAACATCAATGTCTGTAGAAAGGCCAGTACTCGTATTTACTCATATCTTGAGACTTGTACTATCTTGCTCAGACCAGTGTTTCCTCTTCAAACCAGCGAAGCCATTGTTATGTTATGTAAGAATTCCCCTTTGTATGCGATTTTGTTTGATGAAACAATCCTAAAAGACTCGTATGTGATTGGACATTGTTATATATTTGCATCAGGAAATGAGATTTTAAGCTATTCCTATTTATTTTATAAACATGCGTATAAAGAAAAAACGTTAAAAATACATTTTGAAAATGTATACAATTTATATATATTTAAAATTTATTAATATATATCTCAAAATCATTAAAATTCGATAAAAGACACTTAATAGCTTATATATATATATATTGAAATCATATGTCTTAAAAAAATTTACCTGAGAATTGTGTATACAAATTTTTATATTACGCGTATGTGTATTTTTGAATATTTATCTTTTTTATAACGATTTTCATATTTTATTTTTAGCAGCGATTTTTAATACTTCAAGTTTGATATTTGTATCAACTTTTTTAACGTCGAAGAAATGATCAATCATGTTGCGTAGATCGACAATGGTACTTCCCGCCCCCAAGTGGAGTTTGACTCTTGAGTAACATTTATATTATCCTTCCAGTCTAATTTGGTTTCCTGATGAACCATCTTGGTTGTCAGATAATTTTGTATAAGTAGACTTGGTACACCACGCGAAGACAAGCTGATACTACTTATCTTCCTCATATAAATAATGGCCCAAATAGTTGCCGCGAGTACAGTATCGTTCTGATTTTCTGTCTGTTCGGATCTCTGAATTAAACGGAGTTTCTCACGTATATACGTATCGCGTACAACACATATTACGTCTTAAACATTTTTTTACGTTCCAAACGTGGAACATTAATATTTTACTTTTGTTTTTTGCATATTTCATATCAGACAAGATATAGAAGTCATTGAAATTTAAAAACGTTATCAAATTCTTACAAGCGATAATTTAATTTTTGTTCTGTGTACATAAAGATACGAGAATTACTTCCCTTCAGGTAGGACTAATTGTGGGTTCATTATATATTCCATTAAGTTTAATTATTGTGCGATCATTATTCATAATATCTTTAACGGCAATAAAAACAGAGTAAATGTTAATATTTTACAATTAATGTGTATGTGTATTACATAAAAAAAAATTTTAAACTAAATAAAAATAATATTAACTTTTTTTTTTCTTACGATATTTGATTCGTATATCTTTTTAATGTCACAAAAAATATCAGATTTGATGGGCTGTGATAAAATTAAGATAAACAGATAAGATAAAATATTCTGGGCATTGTGTGATAGAATTACTTTAATACGTCATATGCTGATTTATAAAAATATATTTAAACAACTGTTTCCTCCTCTCCCCTTTTTATTGATGTATTACAGAGTTTTAAATTTGTTTACACTTTCATTCATATCTTTCTTACAAATTAATATAAAATGTTATTCTTTTCTTTACAGGGTTCTATCTGCGATAGACTGGTCGGCCAGTCTGTTCGTGGGTGTTTGAATAACTGCGACAACTGGAAGTTGGCCCTGAATGCAGAGCCCCCGTGGCTTTGCTAGCACCCCCACAGTGATCTTGTCTTAATCCGCTTCCTCACGACTCACCCAATTAGCATTGACAGCTGCCTCGTATGTTTTTATTATACTGAATATTTATTAAAAATTTCCAATGTACAAAATGTAAAGTTTATCTCTTACATTTATGTCTGTCGTCTAATAATATTCGTTTGACTTTCAGTTTGCTGCCTAGCACCTACAGAGTACTAATTAATTCAATCAAATCAATCAACATGAAGGTAACAAATCTAGATGAACGTATCCATGTCTTGGACAGCGAGTCCAATGTCATGACTGTTATCAAAGATATTGCAACGAGCGGTTTGCAAGATGAAGCTTTCTATGTATTGGATATAGGAGATATTGTACAAAAGCATCAAATCTGGAAAGAAAAATTGCCTCGAGTCGAGCCCTATTATGGTAAATCATTAATATTTAGAGTTTATTTCATATATAATATACAATTACTAATAGAAATTCTCTAATCTCAGCTGTGAAATGCAATGACAATTTGCTAGTAATCGAGGTATTAGCAGCCCTTGGTATCGGTTTCGATTGCGCATCTAAGGTAAATATGATATATTTTTTAAATATATTTTTTTCACATAGAAAGAAATATGTTTAGAGCTGACACATATGTTTCATAAAGAATATTATAAAATATAATTTTATTTGACAGAATGAGATAAACAAAGTGTTGAGTCTCGGTGTAGAACCTTCAAGAATTATTTTTGCTAATCCGGCCAAACCAGCTTCACACATTCGTCATGCTGCTGCAGTAAGAGTTGAAACCATGACAGTAGATAATGAAAGTGAACTGCACAAAATTAAAAAGCTTTTCCCAACAGCCAAGGTGCATAGCATAATATATAATATATATAATTTTAATAAATATTGCGTGTCTTTTTCAACTATGGCGATAATTTCATTATGAAAGTATATACCATTGCAATTTCTTATTTTTGCAGATTGTTTTGCGAATTCGTTGTGATGCAGAAGTGGCTTTGTGCCCGCTTGGCATGAAATTTGGCTGTGATCCGACACACGAGGCTCCTAACCTTTTACGTCTCGCATGGAACTTGGGTCTCAATGTAGTGGGCTTCAGTTTTCACGTTGGATCTGGATGTCAAGATCCACCAGTATATTATCGAGCTATTCGTCATTGCAAAATATTGTTCAATATGGCCACTGATTTTGGTTTTAAACCTTACCTTTTGGATCTTGGTGGTGGTTATCCAGGCAATAAAGGCACAAGCATTGATAAAATTGCAGAGATTATCAACGAAGCTCTTGATGAATATTTCAATAGTATGTTGTTTCTCATTATATAAATATATTTTATTTGCGATGGCATTTCTTATAATAAAAATTTTTCTTAGCTGATGCTGTTCATGTAATCGCCGAACCAGGCCGCTTTTATGTTGCATCTGCATTTACATTGGCAACGAGTATTCATAGCAAACGTTCTATACGCGGAGATGATAATTCCAACACTGTTACGCACAATATGTATTACATTAACGACGGCGTTTACGGATCATTTAATTGTCTGTTGTATGATCATCAGCATGTAACTCCTATTCCTTTAAAGGTAATTTATTCAGATGAAGCGTTAATACCATCCTTTTTATTTTTTATTTTTTTCTCTCCATTGATGGCTACATAATTTATATAATTTATAATTTATATATATATAATTTATTAGAATGGTTGCGGAAAAATGATTCCTTCGAGCGTATGGGGTCCGACGTGTGATGGATTGGATAAGGTTGTTGAGAATATCATGTTGCACGATATGGAACTTGGTGAATGGTTGATTTTTGAAAATATGGGTGCCTATACATTGCCTGTTGCTTCTCCATTTAACGGATTTCCCATTCCTAAGATTCATGTTGTCGCTGACGAAGACATTTGGTAAGAAAATTTAAAATGGATATATAAATACTTTATTGACCAATATTTCTTCTTTTTTAATGAAGAATAAAATATATTGATGTTGTTTATAGGCTTTTACTGAAAGATGCTCTGCCTTTAACTGAAGATCACTTTGTTATTGGTAATACACCAGGTAATTTGCGACTCGGACTAGATATTGGAGGAAACGATATCGATCCATGGAACAACACTCATTCAATAGAATTAGCACCGCCTGAAATATTAACGGACACTTCTAATACGCCGCCACACTTTATTTTTGAGTATGTCGAGGCGCCACTGAATTAGCTTGATTATTTAACGAATGTTTCGAAGTGCGTTTATGCATTTCAAAGCAGATACATTCAATTGGTGCATGAAATTATTTTCTTTGAATATTTTTTAAATATTTTCTTTAATTATTTTTTTAAATTTTTTGAAAAAATAATATGTGCAAGCATTATTTTTAATTGGCACAGTGATATTTTTTATCATTTCAAAAATTCTTTAAAATATATGTACATTACTTGCATGCATCGAAATATATCTATATATATGGTTTTAAGATATAGTTTTGACGTACAATCTATGTACAACTTTTCTCCTTTCAGACGTTTTGAAATCACCTCTTCTATTTGCTTTTATTAAAAATACATTTACTCGAGTAATAATTAAGAATTACAAATTAAGTAAAGCTCTAAAAGTGGCCCCTCTGATATTACTGTTGAAGACTAATCTTCATGAATGTCAAGTTTTTCTCATCGCATAATACATAAAAGATATTACCATAGATGTTTAATCATACGTGTCTCTGCCATCAGTACAATACAGCGTATTATAGTTTCCACATACATTTCTAGGTACAAAAATTGATATTTCGGAAAATAATTCGTAAAAATTATCTTGCAAATACTTTTCTCTTGCAGTTTTTCAACATATTTAACATAGAACAAAGCTATAATTTGTTTTTATATGGATTGTACATGGAAGAGCAAATCGTGATTTGACAATAGAAAGATTTGTCATGCTTTCTATAAATGATAAAAGAACAAGGCGGCCATGCGTAGAGAGCAACGATTTAAATATACTACGATGTAGTTTTACGTTTTTAAATATTTAAAATAAGTAAATAATTTTTTAAAAAGCTTGGGTAATACTCGGGGCAAAAATTAACATGTTCTTTATTTTTTTTAATTGCTATTTTAAAAGCACTATTAAGAAAAAGAAGAAAAAGAATTCATAATGAATTGACTATACAATATATGTGTATATGTGCATAAAGCACAAATGTATTCTTTAAAATTTATTTTCTATATTAAATAAACATAAACTCTGTAGGATTGCTAGGAATTTTACGGCATTGAGGCAGCTGTCATAAGAACCGAAGAAAATTAATTTTTTATTATTACTCTATTATTATTATTATTATTATTATTATTATTATTATTATTATTAATATTGTAATTATTATTATTGTCAATTGATCATGATTACTCGAATAATAAATATAAAAAAATATAAAATCAATATGTATACACAATTCCAGATATGTTACATTTATTATCCCGTTAATCTATTTTAATTAGTATATTTAGAAATTAAATATTTATAAAAGACATATAGAAAAGCGATTTTTTTTTTATCTCTGTTAATACTATATTGATCTTTTTATATAAAACAAGTATGGCTTTGATTATAAATTGAAAGAGAAATTTAATCTCGCCAAATTTATATTTCAGAGGATTATGAAATCCTCTGAAATATAAATTTGGCGAGACAAACTCATGTTTGTCATGCTTTTTACAAATGATAAAAGAACAAGGCGGCCATGCGTAGAGAACAACGATTTAAATATACTATACGATGTAGTTTTACGTTTTTAAATATTTGAAATAAGTAAATAATTTTTTAAAAGGCTTGAGTAATACATGTTTTTGCGTTTTACTTTCTTTTTTTTTCTCTCTTTTATATATTGACATATATACGATATTTTTCTTCCATTAATAAAATCGCATTGTAAGGTGAATGCTGCGAAATTGCTGAAAAAGCATATGAAAAGATAATAAATATTTTTAAGTAGAGAATTGGATCAAGCATCATGTGTGTGATAATTCTTAGCGAGTCACATGAGCAAAACGTGATTTCTAGATTGGGAAGTAACGTATCACTTGTAACTTTTTCCAATTTTCAAATTGACAACAATTTATTTTTTATTAATAATAATAATGTATTTCTTGAATATAATGATAATGAATATAATTGTTATTTTTATCGTTATTTTATACATATAAATATAAAATAAATGTGTCTTAAAAAAAATATCTTTAAAAATAAATTTGATGATATAGTAAAGGAAATTGTAACAAAAGTTAACTTTCTTAATTAAAATATGTTATAATTAATTTATATACAATATGCAAAAAATTGCAGTTTTGCTTTTGTTCGGAGTTCAAACTGTATAAAATAATGTTGCGCAAAAGGATATAGAACGTTAGTTAAGTACAAGTGGAGTTAACGAAGTATTAAAATGGCGAGTTCCGATAAGATAAACGTACGATCTAATTTGATGAGTTGACGTATATACAAGGGAATTAGTTAATTGTTCGTGGGGGGGTTTGCAGCCGCGATCGGATTGATGACATTTTATCTTGAGCCTCTTTTCATCTGGCGATAACGACGTGCGATCGCAATATGAGACAAAAGATATTCGTCTCAATATACCTCGTATATATTTATATTATTATTCATATTTTTTATGAATTACCATTTATAATATTAAATAATTATTGATTAATTATTAATTAATTATTTTTTATATTATTATTTATATTGTGGCGATTACATCGTTGCATACATTGCCATTCGAATCAGCTCATTAGAGTAGACACTAACGATATTCTCAGGTTTTAATTTCTTTCTATTTTTATCATCTATACATTTTACCATTGTATTAATTATTATTACCTTTGTAATGTCTAAAGCTATTTTTGTTTGTAACATAATTTAAACGTTTAACGATCCGAGACAAGTAACAATAACAAATGGGTTTTCCTTCAATATGGATTATTATTAAAAACTTGTTATTAGAACTTTAGATATTTTGTTTGTCAGAACTAAGCTATTTATTATTAAAAGAAAGATCTCGAAGGAGAAAGCGAAGGCGAGCTGATTCGAAATAACGAACAGATAGAGAGGAATTCGACCGACGGAAACCGACGCGAACGGACGTGTAGCTCAAGCAAGAATAAAAGACACTTTGTAAAAATTCGGACTCGGTTTCTTCCGACACCTTCGCACCTCCGATCCACGTGCAATAAATTCCAAAGTAATGACCCTGACGTGATACCCCACTTTGTGATGTTGGTGAGGAGCGTTGTCCACGATGTGCTGAGTTTGATGGCAAAAAAAATGTTTGGCCGCGGTGAGATTCGAACCTATGTCCTTAAGGGTTCGAAGCAGGCGCGCTACCACTGCGTTATGTGGATTATAATTCTTTTCGTTGATGCTTTACTAGATATTAGTTGTGTGAACGGGGACTGCCACAATATAATAATATAAGTAATAATTAATTTATAAATTTTACATTTATATAAATGTTGTAATTTATATAAATATCAGCTAGCGATATCTTTGTCATAACACGGTTAAATGAGTCCACCTGTTCGTATCATCGTCATTATCGATTTCATCATGATCCCATCATGTATTTCTGAAAATTATACAAATAAATCTAAATGCAAATACAGACGTTATCGCAATTGAAGGTGTTCGATCGAGGACAATCACCGAATCAAATAATATCACTCGAGTAATTTATCGAAGCGTGACGGTGACTCGGGAAAAGCGTCATCAGATAACAATTAACTTCATTATTTGCCGCAGATGGATTGATTGTCACGACTTTTTTCAAATATTGTAGTACGACTTTTTCATCTGGAACGATACATCCGTAATAAACAATCGCGCGCTACTTACGTTTTATCAAGATTACAAACGAAGATTACCATACAAACGATCGAGTTTATTAAAAAAACATTTTGAAAGTATAATGTTTTGATTTGAATGTGCAAAAAATACCGGAAAACTGCCATCAAAAAGTTGTCAAAATATAAGTTAAAAAATATATTTTGAGAAAAAAATAATAATAAAAATTAAAATATAGATTCATCGAATTACTTGAATACGAATATTTTTTCAATTTTGTCATATTTAAATATTTTTTAAATTTTCAAAAGATTTTAATAAAAAGTTAATGTGATATCAAAATTCCGATAATTAAATTACAAACAATGCATAAATAAATATATATAAAAACATAAAAAATATGACATTCTTACATCTTATCCCATATAACACATTTTATCCGAGAGATGTCTTGGGAATATCCTCTGGATATCTTTAAAACATCTCTTGGAGATCTGTATTATATGAGATAGAATACAAAATTGAATAATTTTTTTATGCGTATGCACGCCTGTAGACATTTTTTTCGGACAAAAGTTCGGAAAAATTTCTATATTTTCTATACAAAAATTTCTATACTTTCTATATCCCGGTACGAAAACGCCATCTTACAATCTCCCTCGATGCTGCACGGACTGGAACTACTTTCATGTCGGATGGTACTCTAGCTATCCCGTAATCCTGGCCTATATTCATTGAACGGCGTAGTGGAGCGGCATCGTTTTGTGAAGCGCCCCGGATTATTCTTTCCCACGGCAAGTTTCGCTCGATCATTTGGAGCAAGTCGACAAGCCCTGACTATCTTCGCATATACCTCGCCATCCCAAAGGGAAAGTCAGCTACCGCAGCACGAAAGAGAAAGGATACGTAACCATGGGCGTGGATATCGAAGTCTTAAGTCCTGGAGACGGTAATTACACAGTTTTATTTTCTATCTTTCGCCGAATTCGTCATTCTCGTTCTCTATGGGAGGGACTTCTCTCGCGTTCCATAATTCTCTCTCTCTCTCTCTCTCCCCGCCTTTCTCTCTGTCTGTCTCTCTCTCGTGTGCACGCTCGCTCGCGCGCGCGTGAGTACCTACGTCGCCACACCGCGTGTTCGACACTCCAAAAATTTCTGTTCGCTCGTTAATGATATATAACACACCGTGAACGAGAGTGGCTGGCGTGGAAATGTCTCGCGGTATTCTTTATTCAAAGCGATTCAAGGTAAAATGGACTTGGAATGACTTTGCCTTATTCATGCTTTTACTACATTTTAAACAGCAAGACGCTAATTTTGTCCTCCGATATTGTTTCATAGCTATTTTTATATTTGCAGGTCAAACCTACCCAAAAACCGGGCAAACAGTGGTTGTACATTATACAGGTGAATATTTTATCACATATAATTCAATGTATTTTGAATTATATTTATATCAGAGAACAGAGAAACGATTCGAGACAAGATATCAAAATCATTGTTTATAATAACATTGTAATATTGCACATTTCTCTCTGTAAATAATTTTGAAAATAATAATTGCATAATAGTTTTAACAACCTGTATTTACAGGTACCCTTAACAATGGGAAGAAATTTGATTCCAGCAGGGACCGTGGCATACCGTTCAAGTTTAAAATTGGACAGGGTGAGGTAATTAAAGGCTGGGACCAAGGAGTCGCACAAATGTGTGTCGGGCAGCGAGCCAAGCTAACCTGTTCTCCAGACTTTGCTTATGGTAGCCGAGGCCATCCTGGAATATATCCTTTAATGCAAAATTATATAATATATAATTTTTTTCTATTTTTCTATTTAATAAGAAAAACCATATTAACCTTGACAAAGACACACTATCCCACCAGATGCTGTTCTCATCTTTGATGTGGAACTTTTGAAGGTAGAGCCTTGAAATACCTCTTAGAGTGTACCAAACTTGACCAAACGCATTTCAATACAAGAAAAAAAGAATCGCATCAAATCATATTATGTTAAGTAGTTGGCACGAATGGCACATCCTACTCTAATTGCCTTAATTCAATCGCTCGGATATTAAAAGCTATATTTGCAACTTTTGCAAAGTAATATATGGAAGTGTTGCAAACGTTGTCGCCCGACCTCGCTACTAGAAACAACGTACAATTTATACAATGTATAAATTGCAGATCAATAATATTCAAACAATATCGCATAGTTGTTAGACTGTAAGGTCATATATTAATATGTAGTTCGATTACCTGCTCTCCAAGAGATGCTACTTAACTCATGTACTTGATTTAAAACCGACTAATCGTGTTCCTATGATGAGCGGTTGAATAAAGGGACCCTCCAGATATTTGCAAAATGTAACCTGTGTTCATTCCATTCACTACATATTTGATCCTTCAAATGTTTTGTACAAAGATATTCAATAAAAAAAACACAATTGGTAATGTAACAATACAGGTTTTCTTAGAATAAAGTATAATGGAACATTGCTCCCTCAATTGTATATTTTTTTTTCCACATGTGAACTGGAGACAAGGCATAGCATAAATCTTGCATTGACAAATCTTTTTCTAGATTAACATACATATATTTTAATATATATTTACAAAATATTTCGAATCATTTGCTATTATGTATTTATAAATATATATTGTGCAATCTTTTTCGATCACGGGATTTGCCGTGAGAAAAAATTCTTTTTTCAAATCGTGAATATACATAAAGATAATACAGAACATACAGATAAGCAATTTTCAACTTTACGTGATGATTAAATAACAGCGTACATTTAATTGACACTATTACCGTACATACATTTAATTCACTTATTTGTCTTAATTTTCATCGAAATTTTCTAATTTACATATATAGAATAACTTAATTATATCAACATTTATGTAAAATTTTTTTCATTTTGTATTCTACATTTATCCACTGAAGTAAATCAATTTCTATTATGAAAAAAAATATTTAATTACATAATTTTATAAAATCTTTGAGTGTCCATAGAATCGTCCATTGTATATAAGAAATTCCTGTGTCTATATAATTTAAGATTCCATAAAGCCATTAGTGATTTTATAAAAAAATTAACTATTTTCATACTTTAATACATATAACAATTTGACATCTATTCATTAAAAATAAACAAGTGGGGATAACTTAGTCTACTCTCAATAAATATATATATATAAAAACTATACTATATAAAACTAAATAAAAATATTTTCTCTATTATATATATAAGTCAACCTTTAAAGTATAGAAATATAGAATATTATTTGCATTCTGTTGGATGTATATATATCCAATATATGTATATATATATATATGTGTATATATGTATAACATTTACAAGATCTAATCAACGCAATTCTACATTAATATTAATGCAACAAGAATATTAGCAATTTAATATACAAACAGCTCTGGGAAATGAATTTCATAAGCTGGGGTTTGATTTGGTTTAGCATCTGTCTGTGGTCCAGTTGTAGGAACTGTATTGCGTGGATCAACAGATAATGTATTAAATATCTCTGACAGCTTACTCTGTAAAACATCGTGCTGCAAATAAAAAGAAAAGATTAGGAAAGCTATAGAAGTTATAATAATTATTATCGTAATATATACTAAAATTAATGAACCTTTGGTTGTGTTTTCGATACTAAATCTTGGAATGGTGCATTCCTAAAGAATTGTGAAAGTTGCATTCGCTTTTCCTCTTCTATTATTTGATTATTATTGTTCTCTGTCAAAATTCTTTTCATACTTTCAAACGTTAATTCCTCTCCAGGTAATTTCTATAAAAATTTAATAAAAAAAAAAAAAGAAGCAATTAACATAAAATCATACAATAATTTAAAAAATTTACAAAAATGAAAACAATATTTATATCAGATAATTATAGATTCTTTCTAATTTAATACAAATCGTAATAAATGCAAATTATACCTTTTGCACACCAGGTGATGAACCTCCACTGTCCAATTCTGGACCTCCAGAATTAATGTCGGCTAGTGAATTTCGTCCTGCACTGTCAACCCATGAATGTCTAACAGAGAAAATTTATATTATCTTGATGTACATTAATATCTACGATTATCGATTATTATATTTAGTAAGCAGATACCTGTGTTGTAAGGAATTGCCGCTGTAACCCGAACCTTGTTGTAACTTTCCACTGTCAAGACCAGCTCCTTTTAGGCATTCGCTGACAACGGTTTGATCGACTAAAAGAGCTGGTGCTAATCTAGATGTTAGACCAATATCATATTGAGATTGTAAATCCGGTAGTAAATGTGGGCTATCGTTGCGACGTGCTTCCACCACCTTTAAACAGATTTATTCAATTAAATCAATTAAAATATAAATCATTGAAATTTTAACATAAAATAAATAAATTTGATACTACCTTCTTCGCATAATCCATAAGAGCAGTGATATTACAAACATATGATATTAAGACTAATAGGCTGATAACTATTGCGTGTAAGTTGAATTTAAGTGAAAGGCTAATTTGAGCACTCGTTAATGCCAAATCTTGCAAGCTCAATACCAATCTTAGTAATTCTAACACTGTTTCTTCGGAAGCCAATTCAATGGCAAGTAATGCCAATGTGGTGTAAATAGATTCCACATTTTCTACCGTGTTACTAGACATCTCTAATGATTCATATAGTGCTAAATAGATTTCAGGACCATGTTTCCGAATAAAGATTACATCAGGTCGGGACGCTTTTTCAATAGCAAGACCAAGTTCTGCTACATTCACACTAAAAGAGGAAAAAATTACTTCTAAAAAATTGCACAAAAAAAGAGAACAAAGACAGTACATATTTTAACAAATCAACATATGTTAATAAATATTAAAAACATAAAAATTTACGTTGGTTTAGCAAGTTTTGTAATATTCCGACGTCTGTCGATTAAGGTATGGAATATTTTCTGTACAAGAAGCCTCATTTCAGCATCTGCTGCCAATGACATTCTTAGTAATGGATCCAAGAAACTGGGTGGGAATGTTGTATTCAAGTGGATAGTTTGGTACTTTGTACCAACCTATATATAATAGATAAAATATCTGTAATTTATCTTATACTGTATATTTTACAATTTTACACAATAATAAAGAATTTACCTTTAATAGTGATTTTAAAAGTATGCTCTGAAGCAATACATCTCCTTTGCCGACGGATACAATACGATCCGGCTGACTGTATGGAACTTTACTCATAATAAACATCATAATCTCAATCTTCTGATAATCCGGAAGATGATTTGCAAACTCTCCAAGGGCATTAATAAGAGCTTCTTGGTATAATTGTTCATCACTGCTTGACGATTGATTTCGCGTTACACTAACTCGTAGGTGAGACAATAAAGAATTTATAATCTCTAATACAGATGGCCCTAAAAAAATAATATTGTGAAGAGGACTTACACATCAACTAAAAGCTTAAATTTTGTTAGACCTAAAATAATTTTCGACTGACTTACCGACACTTTCACCTGCAGCAATTGATATAATTTTAGACAAAGTATCCGCAATACTAGTACGAATCTTTGGGGATGATTTTGAGTGATCGTCGAGATGTGTCATTAAAGCTTCTACTACTGTGTAAGAATATTGCGACTGAAACATATATCCAAAAATATTTATCAATTGTTTGCTGTTAATATATTAAATGCTACTTTATCTGTACCATTACATACTTGGATAGAAAACATAATTATTCTGAAAGTATGAATTGCAAAGTAATTAGGGACCCATAACTGATGATTGTCTAGATGCCTAAAATATAGATATTATTAATATACATACACACGCACATATATATATATATATATATATATA